TACGAGTGGAGAGAGGAAAAGGTCAAGAATAAGGAAGGACAGTGGGTCAATACCGCCGTCGAACATGCATCCTTAGAGACACCCCTGGCAGAGGGATCACGCAAACCTGCTCCAATGTCACGGCTTCGGGATGAAGAACCAGTGGCTGCAAAAGCAAAGAAGGCAAAGACTTCAGCTCCAGCATCGGAACCTGATGAGGATACAGGGCAGACATTGTTCGGATTTGACAATGTGGATGACATGGGAATGCCGTTTGGTGAAAGCAAGAAAAACTCTGGGCCTGTGAGTCGGAGTGGTTGGCTTGCATACTCCTGATTCAAAATCCATCCACAGGCCCAACACGAATATCTCTGGGACTGGGAGACGAAGCGCACAATGTATCTTCGTACCATTGCTGGCTTGCATGAACGGTCTCTCCACCATGCAGTGTCACAGGAAGGTGTAATGACGCCAATGTGCAAGTGGTGTCGGCTTAGGGAACCCACTTGGAGATGTGATGATTGCTTCGGATTTCTGGAGGGTTGTCAGGAGTGCTTTCGATCAGCTCATCAACATATGCCTTTCCACAATGTCCGTACTTGGACAGGCACATACTATGAACCTTCATTCCTCTCGAAATGTGGTCTAGTAACTCAATTGGGACATGGAGGCAGGACATGTCCAGCACCGAAGAAATCTTCAGAATCAGACAAGCTGTCTTCCGTCTTTGAACGACTCTCCATTCGAATTGGGCTTCAGAAGGCATTCACCCACAAACACACTGATCACGACGGAAACTCCATCCTTACCATTGTCGATACAAACGGATTGCATCAAGTAGCAGTAAATTGGTGTGGTTGCGACAAGAAAGCCGACGAGGACATCCAGCTGCTTGAGCACGGAATGTACCCGGCCAGTCAAAAAACGCCCCGGACGGCCTTCACATTCCAGGCGTTGGATGACTATTTACTACAGAATCGAGAGTGCAAAGTCCCTGCAAACAGCTATATCGCACAGCTCCGGCGGAAGACGATGGATTCGATGCCGCAAGAAGTACCGGTAGGGCTACTCCATTGACTACAAATGCACCTCATTCACAGTCTCCAGGTCCGATATGTTGAGCTAAACAGGTGCTCTCGTCAATGGCGACTCTTGAAGGGGCTATTAGCGCACGGAGAGGGAATGAACAGAGGCACTGACAGCGGTAAGGGCAAACAAGGAGACGATAAGTGTCTTCATCTAGGGCAAGGATCTCTTGCTACTGTCTGCCCTGGCTGTCCGCGTCCGCAGGTCAACATGCCCGAGGGGTGGGAGGCCGATCCCCATAAGTAAGGATGACTATGCATCCGAGCTAATGTACACGGATCTGACATTGATGTTTATTAGATGGAAACACGGGGCCACATTGTGCATGGATGGGAACTTCAAGGCAGATCACCTTCGCATGCGGAAAGAAGCCAACGATGTTCCTCTGACAGACGGAGCTGCATACATGACGGAGAGTAAGGCCTATGAAAAACATCTCGACACGTATCCAGCCAACGCAGAGGTTGATCTATTGCTCATGATCTATCGGCAATGCTAACCTCGCAACAGATTTCAACTTGCAATGCACACCGCGCCATCACTCAGGCCAATCAAACCCGCGGAGTACATAAGGACGTGACCGGAATTGTAGTGGTTGCTTGCGCTAGACATGGGTTTTTCATTCCTGGGAGTGCAGTGAGTCTTCAGAAGGGGGAGGCGTGAGGTTACATTTATCTACTTCCTAGCCAAATGACTGACATCTTTGTTAGGTTTGCGAACACGGATTGGGCCCTGTGGATGGCCCTTCTCTGGTATTCCGGTCTCCTGAATGTCCTTGTTCTCTATGATGTCTGGTGCATCTTTGTGATCCACCTGTTGTCTCGCTTTGCCAAAAGCAAGTTCATGAACTTGCCCTTGAATATGGCGATCATGGGCGGGATCGGGCAGTTCCATGTGCACGGACACAAGGATGCTTGTGTGGCAAGATGGTCTCTGTTGTATATTGTTGGTGCTGGGAACGTTGATGGAGAGATCTTGGAGACGCTATGGGCAGCACTGAATGAAATCTCACGGAGCACGCGATCAATGTCAACATTGCATCGGAAAGAGGTTTTGGACAATCATATGGACGATTCTAACTGGAAGAAACTGACCAAGATTGGTGAGTTATTCCATCCTGTGCATCCGGCATCAAGTGAGATATTTGACTTCGCTTGCACCAGCACTATCTCTGGCAGAGAAGTGGAAGAGAGCCGTCGTCAAGTTCCCGGATGCACAGAAAGCCTTCCTAGACCTGAGTGCCGTCGCCGGACCAGATCAAGTTGCAACCTGGATGGAGCAGCTTGACAAAGCACAAGCAGAGCGTGCCAGCAATCCGGCTGCAATGGAAATTCTGAACATCAAGGTGGAGGACATGCCCACACAGGCCGACATCCAGACCGAGTTGTCCGAGGAGGTACCACGGCGTCCGGGACAACTATCGACAGTGGAATGGTTGTCGGACGGATTGGATATACATGCTGAACAGTGCGTCAAACACTGGCGATGCTTATGTGCTAAAAGGCTAACCAGAAGCTAAGGAAACGTGTGATAGCTCTTGTCAAAGAGGCACAAAACAACGAGCAAGCTGCCACACAGCACAAGGCTAGGGAGGTGCGCCGGACACTGGATTGTCGGGTCCGCTTCTGGCTTGAGGATCGCCCTCGGATTAGTGGGTGAGC